TCTCTCTCTCTCTCTTTCTCTCTCTCTCTCGATCTCTTACATGACTATTTTTTGTCTTACCTCCCACGCACGTGGAGAGATAGTTATCACAGACTGCTCACATCTATCTATCTATCTATCTATCTATCTATCTATCTATCTATCTATCTATCTGAGTCTGTTCAGATCGAATCCTATCTATCTATCTATCTATCTATCTATCTATCTTTCTGAGTCTATTCAGAACGAATCATATCTATCTATCTATCTATCTATCTATCTATCTATCTATCTATCCCGATCTGTTCATAATTTATCTATCTATCTATCTATCTATCTATCTATCTATCTATCTATCTGGATCTGTTCTGATCTGTCTAACTATTTATCTAAAAACATTTTCTTTCTTTGTTTCTTTATTTCTTTAACTTTTTCTTTCTAAGCCTGTTTATGTCGATCTACACATATATCATCATCTCATTTTTCTTAATCTAATTTGACTTACAGCGATCGAAATTCGTGGCAATGTTTTGAGTCCAGATCGCTTTCTCAAAGCTTATAACATTTGTTAACTTTTTATTTTTTATTTTCATCATTTCCCTCGAAGCAAGTCAAAAAATCCACTTAGACGCAGTGCGTTGGTGATTGATAGAGAATATGAGCAAAAAAAAAAAATTATTAAGGAGAAAAAACAATAAAAAAAGTGGAATTCAGTCGGCAGAGAATAACGATTGAGACTATTTATATTTTTGAAGATCAAATTTGGTTGGAAAGCCAGGATCTGAAAGAGAGATCCACAAACCCGAAGTGCGAGAAAAGAAACTCTTAGCATAGAACATACGGTCACATCTAGTCATTTTAATTGTAAAATGATGAGACCTAGCTTCCAATCGAGTACTGCGCTTGAATTCGTAAAATCTAGGTAACAAAGAAGAAAGTTCATCAGGATAATTACCATGAAATATTTCTAGAAAAGGGACGGGGAAGGTAAATTATAGCAGTGGAATAGTGACTGAAGCTGAAATTCCAGGATCAGGTAGCATTGAAGCAATTAGCACTAGGGTGATTTTGGGGTGATTAAGATACCCAGGAGATTGGCAGGGTGTGGTGTAGTATAAGTTCTTCATTAGATCTCAAATAAAACTAACTTCACAGTATCTATCTCCTTCTGTGTTATGTTAACCCCGATAAGCAACACTTGCGGTTACATCTAGCCATTTTAATTGTAAAATGATGAGACCTAACTTCCAATCGAGTACTACGCTTGAATTCGTAAAATCTAGGTAGCAAAGAAGAAAGCTCATCAGGAAAATTACTATGAAAAAGTTCATAGAAAAATAACAGATCAGGTCCAATAACATTGCAGAAATTTCTTTGTTTTATCAAGAATCTTTAACCCTAGAATACTAACCCTGGGTATATAGTACCCAGCGCAAATTTTCCTATTTTAATTCCAATTTTCAGTACCTGATTTTCTTACCTAAATAATATTTTTCAGTTCCTATTAATGTTAACTCAAAGTACAATGTTTGAAGTTCCTGCATATAAAATATTTCAGATAAAGATTTATATTTAATATTTTTTTTTTTTTTTTTATATTTTCAAAATCAGGTATGATATAGCCATGGTTAGTAGTGGTGTAACTTTAATTGATGGTCAGTGTTCTAGGGTTAAATATATAGTAGAAGTACGAGAACAGATATGACAGAAATATTTAATGACCACGAATTCGCAGCAGGGGTCATGCTGATATCAATGCCGATATCAATGCTAATATCAATGCTGCTATCAATGCTGATATCAATGTTGTTATCAATGCTTTTTTATCATTGATGGTATCAATGCTGTAATCAATGCTGTTATCAATGCTGATATCAATACTGATGTCAATGGTGTTACCAATACTAATGTTAATACTGATATCAATGCTGTTATCAATGCTGATATCAATGCTGATATCAATGCTAATATCAATACTGACATCAATGCTGTTATCAATGCTGATATCAATGTTGTTATAAATGCTGATATCAATATTGATATCAAGGCTGTTATCAATGCTAATATCAATGTTGTTATCAATGCTAATATCAATAATGATATCAATGCAGATATCAATGCTGTTATCAATGCTGATATCAATACTGATATCAATGCTGTTAACAATGCTAATGTCAATGCTGTTATCGATGCTGTTACCAATGCTGATATCAATGCTAATATCAATACTGATATCAATGCTGTTAACAATGCTGTTACCAATACTGATATAAATACTGTTATCAATGGTGATATCAATGGTAATATCAATGCTGATATCAATGCAGATAATGAAATTAAAATAAGTAGCACACTCTGCTATTAACATTCGAAAAGTTTCTGTGCTAAATCCTTAATTCAGCCTGTTTTCTCTCCGATCAAATCGGGCAGGTTCATTTTTTAGAACAACGTATTTCAAATCTGAGATAACAAAATAAAACAAGTTCGGAAGTTTAAATATCTGACCCTGATCAACAAAATCCAGAGACGAATATGCAATGTAATAGGTCCTGATCTGGCATCTCGTCTATATTCACTTTCTCACAGACGTTCTGTGGCTTCCTTCTGTCTTTTCCCCAAATATTTTCCTGGTAACTGCTTGAATTCAAACGTGCTACTAGGTTGGCATCTCGGTCCCACAGACACAGTGTCGAAACAGTTAAATGTACCCGCCTCTTCTACCCCAACAGTCTCTTTTTGCGCACTTCCCGACAATGCAACTCCCTTCCGCTTACTTGCATCCCTGATAGCTATAATCTTTAAATATTCAAATGTAATGTCAATCGACATCTTCTGATGTCTTGATCCCGAACTCCGTCCTTCTCTATATCCTTTCCTCAAACACCCCCCTCTTTACTCTTGCTCTCACGCTCTGTAACCCCTTGCGTACTAGTGGCACGCCCACCTTGCTTGGGGTGAAATGCTTTAAAAAATCCGAAGGAACACTAGGATAACGTGAAGATGCCTTCCAAAAGCTAAGCAGAGTATTAATAAATATAAACATTTCCCTAGAAACAAGGCAAATAGTTACTAAACCGTTACGGGATATCTGTCCTCCACTAGAGTGCTAGACAATCTCCTCAAAGATGGAGAGACTTGAAGCAACAGAAAGGTAGTTCTACAGCAGGATGCTGAGGATGGCATAGATCGAACATTTGAGAAACGACGAAGTTTTAGAGAAAATGGAAACAACAAGGAAACTTATATTTAACATCAGAAGAGACAGTTAAGGTTCCTAGGGCACATAATGAGAAGAGACGGCTTGGAAAATCTGATACGCTCAGGACAGATTGAAAGCAAGTGGGACCGAGGAAAACAACGAGATTGAATAAATGGATGGCGGCAAAAGGTTTTTGAGAAATAATAGAAAGAAAATTAAAGGTCGCCTACTACCATTCCTTGTCTTCCAGCCCAATTTCTTTTTTTTAATCCTTGCAGGTATTTTATTTTTGTTTCATATTCTTTACCAATTTAAAGTTAATGTTCACGAAGCGCATTCTACTGATCAATTAATTGCCCCAAGTAATATTTCACCTTATCACATAGAGAACCTTCCAAGAGATTAAAAAAAATGTAACCGAAGTCTTAAAAATTAATGAGAATTTATTTTCATTATTGACTTTAAAATTCATTCTTTTCTGAGAGTTCATTTTCTTACGCACCAATGTCGAATTCTTTCAGGTGATCATTTTTCCTCTTTCAGATGGAATAACATCTTTTCCTTCTATCTAATATACATATATCTGAGTCTGTTTAGTTCTATCTATCTATCTATCTATCTATCTATCTATCTATCTATCTATCTGAGACTGTTCAAATCAAATCCTATCTATCTATCTATCTATCTATCTATCTATCTATCTATCTGAGATAATATTTTATTCTCACAGGTAGTTGTAAGCAAAAGATCTATCTATCTATCTATCTATCTATCTATCTATCTATCTGAGATAATATTTTATTCTCACAGGTAGTTGTAAGCAAAAGATCTATCTAGCTATCTAGCTATCTATCTATCTATCTATCTATCTATCTATGATAAGGGAATTTCTACGGATATTTTATTGTCGTAGAATTTAGCATGAGATTACTCAATCATTAACTGATAAATTAAGATTTACCAGAAAATAAAAAAACAGGAAAACTGAAATCTTCATGGCTCAAACTATTAGGAATATATTTGACATTTTTCATTATACTTATATAATCCTAATGATACCTTTGATATTTTCATGGTTTGGATTTCCTGCTGATTTATAATCCTAAATAAAATGATTGAATAAGCTCCTTGTCTCTATGACTATACAATACCTGTAGACATTACGTTATTTCCTCGTTAAATACAGGGTGTCCATAAAGTTCATGTGCACTTTAAAAAAATTATAACTTTATTTGTATTTGCGATAGAAATAATCTGTAAAAAATGTTATAAAGTTTACTGTATATAGTTTTAAGTATAGCTAAAATAACTAATGTGATTTCAGGCATTACTCTAAATCAATTGGCAAATGTTTTCCGTGAATTGCAAAATCATATTACCCTTTGTATTGCTAATGATGGAGCACATGTGGAAACTTAAATAAAATTTCAATAAAGCCTTAGAAAATATATATTTACTTCTTTTTAATCCTTTTCACAAATTATTTCTATCGCAAATACAAATAAAGTTATAAAGTTTTTAAAGTGCATACGAACTTTATGGACACCCTGTATTTGAGCTTAAGTATAAAAACAGATCATTATTTGAAGATGTAAAAGAATACAGACGAAAAAAAATGACAAGATTAATTTCACTGAGGCAGACTCTTAATGCATGAGAGCATTATCTCCACTTCTACCGTCACTTTCCTTCGTTCTTTCTTTCTATCTTCTCTTCATTACAATGGTGGTTTTCTAAGTGTAGCATAGGTGTGGTACAAGGCCGAACATATGGGTACTCAGTGAGGATCGAACTCACTATTCAGTCGTCTAGCGAAACAAGCTTGTTTTCTATTTCTCAAGCAAACACCTTCTCTGGTATATCTTGTTCTTCCGTTTGTTCCAGCTTTTAAAAACTAGTGGTCTATTATTTACCTGTCAACAGCAGGGTTAAAAGCTTGTGCTATCGATCTTACTAGACTTACTAAATAATCAATCAATCAGAATTAAAATATGTTGTTTTTTTTAAGCGTAGCTTAGATGTGACACAAGGCCGACAGTATTGGACAACCTCTGAAGATTAAGCTCACTATTCAGTTGTAATTGATCTAGCGAGGAAGGCTTGTTAACCATTACAACATTTAATAAATGGCTGAAAATGATGTGGTGTGGGTTTTTTTTGGTGGGGGGGGGCTACAGTCAAAATAACATTAAGAAGCCCAGATCTAACTTTAGTCTCCTCCCATGAGAATATGAAGTTGGTCAAGCTTTAGTGAAAACATATTAAAGATGACTGCCATATTCCAAAATCCAGAATTCACTTAGGAGTCAAGTGTTAAATAAGTCATAATTCATTTTATTGCATCACTCCATTTGTAGAAGGAGTCTTCCAATTTTGACACACTCGGTAACCTAGAGAAATACATAGCCATTACTTAAAACGATTAAACCCTTCTCTAGCTTTTTATTCGCCAGCACAAAATTTAATAATTTTTAGTCGTTCGTTTAGTGACTTTGCATTTATTGAATTTCTTCAAAATTCCCGAATCAGTCATAAAGAAATTATTTTTTTTAAAGACCCAATGTCTTCAGAATCTGCTCGAAGGCTTTTGCAAATTTCAATGGTGTGAGTTTTTGGCTTGGAATTTTTATTCGATGAATTCAAAAAGAAAAAAAAAAAGGAAAAGATATCTTTAAAAAAAAAAAAAAGATATTGACCCATAAAAATCCATTTCCGTAATTTCACTTGAAGCTTAATCAAAATTTCATCTAACAAAATTAAAAAAAGAAGACTTTAATTTCCAAATTGTTTTAAATTTTCAATTCAAAATTCCCACTTCTGTTTGAAGCGAGCGGGTTTTTAAGACATTATTATGTTTGAAACTTGTCATTCATTGAAACTTGAGGTAACATTAGGAAATCGTGAAAACGAGTCGTCAGAGCAGTCATGAGTTTCTTCTTCTTCTTCTTCTTCTTCTTTTTCTTCTTCTTCTTCTAATCCTTATTTCCGCCTTTTTTTATTATCCCAAAAATTTTACCCTCTTCCCCTTCGTCTTCTACTTCTTTATTATTATTATCATTACTATTCGCCACACTCCTTCTTCTTCTTCTTCTTCTTCTTCTTCTTCTTCTTCTTCTTCTTCTTCTTCTTCTTCTTCTTCCTTATTATTCAATTTACATTCCCTTCTCCTTCTTCTTTCGTATTATTATCATTGCTTTTCCCTTCTCTTCTTCTTCTTCTTCTTCCTTATTATTCAATTTACATTCCCTTCTCCTTCTTCTTTCGTATTATTATCATTGCTTTTCCCTTCTCTTCTTCTTCTTCTTCTTCTTCCTTATTATTCAATTTACATTTCTCTTCTTCTTTTTTCGTATTATTATCATTATTTTCTTCCCTTCTTTTCTTCGTATTTCATCTTTTCACCCTCTCCCCCCTTTTTTTTTTCTTTTCTCTGCTTTATTTCTTCCAATAATTATTTCTTCCCTCTTTCTTTATTTTATTTTCTTTTATCCCCCCCTTTCCCCTTTTCTACGTTTTTCTACTTATTTTTCTTATTTTTCTTCTTGCCTTCTTTTTGCTTCGTCTTTTACCTTATAATCATAATCCTCATTGCTACGCCTTCTTCTTCTTCTTCTTCTTCTTTTTCTTTTCTTCTTCTTCTTTGCTGTATTCTTCTTCTTTCTCTTCTTCTTTGCCCTGTTCTTTTTCTTCATCTTCGTCTTTGTCTTCTTTTTCTTTTTCTTTTAACGTCTTTCTATTTTCCTTCCTATTTCTGAAAATCTTTGCACCTTACACTTCTTTTGTCAATAGTAATTACTGCATTTTATTATTATTATTATTATTATTATCATCATCATCATCATCATCATCACCCCCCCATCTTATTCTGCCACATTGACTTTTTCCCCATCTTTATTTCCTACATGCCATTTTTTGTTGTTGTCTTTATTTTTTCTGCTGCTTTTTTTCCTTCGACTTTAACTCAGTCTTCATTCAAAAAAGTTGAATTTAATTGAGATTTTCAATAATTAGTTTTCAATTTAATTATCAATTTGAATTTTGATTAATGTAATGCGAAATCTCATTTTCATAATTACACCAGTCGCTTTAAAAGCCAATTAGTTTTTCACAGTCGAAGTATAATCCAGGCTTATCTTCAACTAGTACTCGCCTCATCACTTATAGCCTCCAGGTAAGAAGCGGAAGGAAAGAACAAAATGAAAGAAATAATATTTTGCGTTCTACCATTTCACAAAAGCAATAAAGACTAGCTTTCAGCGTTCATGCCATATCATTAAAGTATTTTAATAACTGTGAAAGAATCTGATAACGTTTTTTTTTTGTCTGTCTTATGAAAAGCAATTGTCAGAAGGGTAGAGGTCGTGGCGCATGAGGAATTGTTTAGTTTTCAACGAAAGATATGCAACAAAGCTGACTGTTTCAAAGTTCATTCTATAACTTGTTGTTTATATAAACCGTGCAATTGCAGTCAGAATTAATTTTTAAAAAATACGTCCAAATTTGAATGAATTCTAATAATAATATTTATAATATGACAGCTAATATGTAATTTATATTTTCTGCTTCTGTAGTCCTGGTGTTATATATGAAGAAAATGAGTAACTACCGACAGCGAGGTTCGAGCGTGACACTGGAATTATAAATATATGTTTTCCGCCAGGTGCATAAATAGCGGTGTCAGGCTACTGACTGCAGTGATTAATGAGTGGAACTATCCAGTCGAATTAGTGTGAATTAGTGTACGTAACTTGTGGAAACCCCGGTCATGGCTGTCAGACAATTCACCGCTTCCATCTCACCCCCTAACTCCCCAGACTTCACCCCCCCTGATTATTATGTGTGGGACGGAGTTGAGCGAGAGATCTACAAAACTTTTTTTTTTAACACCAAAGATGAACTGAAGGCAAGAATTATGGCAACATTCATCAACTTCAACAAGGAGACCGTCCATATATTTAACATCGTAATATATAAAAACATAAACACACTGTCACATAGGAAGAATATGAGTAACTACCAACACCGAGGTTTGAACGTGGCACTCTGGACTCATGAATATATATAGTTTCCGCCATGTATATAAATAGCGGTGTAAGGCTACTGACTGCAGTGATTATTGCGTGGAACTATCCAGTCGAATTAGTGTGAATTATTATTAGATCTCTGTACAGAACAATGTTGCGTTTGCAAGTCACTTGCTCCAAGTAACGTTTTTATTCTCACGAGAAATTAAACCATGAATAAAACTTCACAGCAACAGTCATACGCGTTTAACAAGTCGAAAATCCTGCATCAAGGCCACTGAACGGGGGATTGGAGAATTTGAGCAGCGTGAAACCACCTCTTAATCGTTGTTGTTCCCAGATCTACCCTGATCCCGGGTGACAACACCTGTTAGGGTCCCAGTTATGGGAAAATAATGACTCCCCTAAAAAGAAAGAACTATTAAAGTAGCAAAATAGACAGCAAAATTATACTAAAAATACCAGCAATACATTTTTATATAAAAAGAAAAAACGGACCAAGAATATATACTGTATTTTCCGGCTTATAAGACGCACTTTTTTTCCTAAAGAATACGCTGAAAATGAGTATGCGTCTTCCAAGACGAATTCAAGGCAACGCCTAGTCTCAAGTAAGCTTGGATTGTCACCTAATTGGCTTGACTGATAGGGACGTGGGTTTGTATGTCGAGTTATTACGCTATAATGTTAACTATCTATCTAAATCAGCCTTTTATATGATGTAACCTCAATACTTAGCTGTTAGAAGTCTTTAGAAGACTATAAACCTTCCTGGAGCCGAGGCACAAGCTTAAATATGCTCTGTTTACTGGCAGCGGCGAGAGCCTTTCTGCTCTTGACTAATATGTTATTGCCATATAAACAAAATCGGACGAGTGATTAATGTAAACAATACGTAGCGCCAGTATGTGAGAGAAACATGTTGTTTTGTTGTATTAGAAAGACTTTTTTTTTTCTTAGAAATTTATTTCTAATATTAGGGTGCGTCTAGAATGCAGCAGCGTCTTGTAAGCCGAACAATACGGTATTTATAAAAAAAATGACCACTAATACATATTTATAGTAAAATGACCAACAATACATTTTATCTGTAGTATACAACTGCGTTCAAAATATATTTAGTTGAAACCATAAAATTGTGTTCAGATTATGTTGATTTTGGCATTAAATAACCCATAGAGGTGTTTATATGCCGCTAAACAAAAGCAACCAATTAACGAATCGACAGCCATAACGTTTCCTCGTTGATTAGTTTATGTTATATCCTGTCTCCGTTTTTTTTTGTTTGTTTGTGAGTCATCGGTTTCTATGTTTAATAAGAACACCAGTCATCAGCTGCTAAAACAATCCGAGTTATTTGACGTTAGGTGAATGGGACAAACAAGAAAAGCAACACTTAATATTTTATATGGAATATCTTCAAGGTCAAATATTTTATTTTAATCAATTCACCCCAAGCAAACAAGGGGTAACAGGGAGTGAAAGAAAATGAGAAAACTTTAGAAGGAACCGGAAACTAAATCCTAAACAGTAAAAAAGGGATAAATCTCTACTCTTTATTTACATTATTCGGACTATAGTCCTCATCTTTGTCGCCATATTTATCACAACGTTTCGTCCGTTGTACGCTGCGGCCTTCTTCTATGACACATGGCACAGTGGATAAAGGCGTTGGTTAGATCCAGTGACAGGACCCAAAGAGTGTGAGTTCAATACCCGGTTAAGGCAGTGAAGAACTTTCAGAGTGAAATTAACAGGAGATAACTGATAACTGACATCCATTAAACATGGCACGTGGAACTAGAACAGCCTACCCCAGTGAGCGAAATAAAGGGTTCAGTTCGACATTCTAACCACCTGAAGAAGGCCGGAGCGTACAACGGCCAATACGTTGTAATAAATATGGCGACAAAGATGAGGACAATAGTCCGAATAATTTAAATAATGTACAAAATACCTCATCTCAGAAATATACACAGATACTGAAAGGCCAAAACTTTGTAATAAATATGGCGACAAAGATGAGGATAATAGTCCGAATAATGTAAATAGTGTACATAATACCTCATCTCAAATATAGACAGATACTGAAAGGAAGAAACGTTGTAATAAATATGACAAAGATGAGGACAATAGTCCGAATAATGTAAATAATGTACATAATACCTCATACCAGAAATATAGACAGATACTGAAAGGCCGAAACGTTGTAATAAATATGGCGACAAAGATGAGGACAATAGTCCGAATAATGTAAATAATGTACATAATACCTCATATCAGAAATATAGACAGATACTGAAAGGCCGAAACGTTGTAATAAATATGGCGACAAAGATGAGGACAATAGTCCGAATAATGTAAATAATGTACATAATACCTCACCTCAGAAATATAGACAGATACTGAAAGGCCAAAACTTTGTAATAAATATGGCGACGAAGATGAGGACAATAGTCCGAATAATGTAAATAGTGTACAAAATACCTCACCTCAGAAATATAGACAGATACTGAAAGGCCAAAATTTTGTAATAAATATGGCGACGAAGATGGGGACAATAGTCCGAATAATGTAAATAATGTACATAATACCTCATCTCAGAAATATAGACAGAATCTCTACTCTTATTCAAAAATATGGAGAATAGAGTAAACCAGAAGATAAGCAAACCTAAATACCGGGTGTAACAGCAAAATTGTCCAAATCGTGTAACAGCATGCGTAATTTTCAATCTCTCAAAATGTTTAATATCTAAAATACTGGTAAACTAATTGAGTTTCTTTTTTCGACATTTTCAGATAACACGTTTAGCCATCATGGCACCATCTGTCGTAAGAAAGAAAAACGCTTTGAGTCATTCAGCTAGAAAGAGAACAGTTTAAAACTGTCAGCTCCACTATCTTCTCATCTGAGCAATGATGAGAGGAAAAGATGATTCAGGCCTTGAGTAATGGTACCAACATTCATCCTCTGGCTTCCATCTTCAAAGTCCATTCAAGAACCATCAAGAGATTGGTGAATAAGTTTAAAAAAGAGGGAACAGTAGAGAGGAAAACTAGATCAGGAGGTCACAACAGGAAGAGGGATCATCATTTAAACTTAGAGCTAAAGAGATTAATTAGAAAAGACTCAATCCATAAGACGTTTGGCACGTGAGAGAGGAGTTTCAGTTATGATAGTTCAAAGAGCAATATAAAAAAGACTTGAAAATGAAATCGTACGTGAAATATGTATGTGTGTGTGTGTGTGTGTGTATTTGAACTTAATTTTAATCCTTCATGAGCTTCTGATCCTTAACTATGATTAATTAATGATGAACATGTTATTTTCTTTTATGATTGATTTCATAACGATTCTCCTGTTAAGTATTATTGCTCAAAGGAGGTGCAGAATTAATTTAACCTTGGAACTAAGTGTTAGGTTTAGGGTTAAAGTTAGGGTTAGGTATAAGGATTAGGACTAGGGTTTTTAAATCGAGTTGGAATTAGTTTTAAATTGAAATTATTTCCGTTATGATTAGTTTCGAGTTGAAATTAATTCCGAGTTGAAATTAGTTCTGTCACTCATTCAAAGTAGAGTTCAATAGTCTTATAAAAATCTCGGGGAATTCAAGGAAGATATCTTTAATGATTTCTCGATACAACAGCTTAATGTAACGAAAGGACAATTTTGTTAATGAGGAAAAATTAATGAATAAAAATGAATAGTAAATATAATTTCATAGTTTAGGTAGTGACGTTAGAAATATAGACTGAGTGTAGTGATCAATTTACAATGGAGTTGCATAACAAATTGGATTCATTTTATTAGATTTTATAAAATTTAATATTTTTCCCTCGTGATCTTCAGTGTTTAATTTCAGAGTTTAGGCGGAGACGTTAAAAGTATAGAGTTGAATTAGACTTTTGAAGGAATCAAGAAACCCCATCTTAAACAGGAAACAAGAAATAGAACTCAAAAGATTGGAAAGGAGTGTGAACCGGTTAGGAAATATTCAAAGAAATCAGCTTGAGCTGCTTCAAAGAATATCAGATATTCCTGTGACGTGATCAGTCTGGATTTTGGATTATGTGTCAGAAGACGTGGCACTCAACGAACAGAAATATTCGTTATGCCAAATTCATTGTGTAGAATAAATCTTTGATTTATACTCTATTGCCTTTCATCCATCACCATGTTTTCATCGGTGGTGACAGTTGCAGGACGCCCAGACATTGGGCCATCTTCAAAACTCTCACTTTTCTTCCAATATTTAACTACCTACTTTTGTATTGTTGATAAAGCTGGAGCGTTATCTTCTAATGCGAAAACCATGTCAGCATGAATGTCTATGGTGACTAAACACGTTTTATGCAGGAACTTGGTAATACCACAATGCCAAATGCTGTCCATTTTCAAGTCGCTACTACATACTTTATTTTATTTATAGTAATGGCTTTGTTTCCCCAGTTTTTTCTCGTTTATTTTAACTATCAACATCACGATTAAAACAAAACATGTATTCTTGTATGACTTCAAAATGTGAAAGAAAACAAGGAACTCAGCAAATATCGAGCAAGAATTTGGCCAGAAATACTCTATGACCGTTCAACTGAATCATTGCTTAAGAATTGACTTTCGACGACGTCCTTTAGCGATTAAAATACTACTAAGAGAATTGGAACCGCGCAAAGGTACCAGGAATGTTCCCAATGTAACAGCTGTCCGTAATTGTCTCCCAAACAGACTATGAAAATACTCAATACATGGATACTGTACGTGCTGAGAGAATGTTTTATGAGACCTTTTGAAAACCCTTTCTTTTCTTACATAAACAACGAGTAATTTCTTGATTATGTCATGGATTCTATCAGACGGCCTTCCTCACTGTGTACAAAGGATTAGTAGACATTTTTTTTAAAATTGAAAGCGTCTTCAAAATAAGGTTATAACTATTGTTTAGTAGTTTTCACCGGTCATCAATATCTCTTGGGACTCAATTTCACATCCACACCACAATTATAACTTAACTCAAAACATAGCAGCCCTGTCGACTGAGACTTCAGAATACGCCCACTGCACCTTTGCAGTGGGATAAGTTCCCCCCACCCCAAATGAAGCGTCCTATGTAAGATGATAAACTACATCCAACAGTAAGGCCTCTGATTGGGAGGTTTTGAAGAGCATGGAACTATCTCTTCATTGCTGGTGTTCCCAGGTCCAACCTGACCCAGGGTGGTAGCACCTGTTAGGGACCAAGCTATGGGCAAATAATTAACCCCCAAACTGGGGTCAAAGCACTATGAAAGTGTAAAAATAGATTTTAATACCATCAATACATTTTTGTCAAAATTATTACCAGTAATTAATTTTTTAAGAAAAAATATTACCAGCAATACATTCTTGAGGAAAGAAAAAAGATATTAGCAGCAATATATTTTTGAAAAAAAAATATTACCAGCAATACATATTTGGAAAAAATATTGCCACCAATACTTTTTGGAAAAAAAAATATTACCAGCAATAAAAATCTTGTCGGCATTAAATAAGACATTGAGGTGTTGATATGCCGTAAAACAAACCAAACCAAACCAGGAAATATTTAAGGCAATAATTAATAAAAAGTATTGGAATTACCGTATGCAAGGTTTTACAGCTCTAGCTGTCTTTTATAGTAAGTCTTCGAACTTCTCAACTCACCCTCCTAGTTAAGACATCAGCAGTGGACCTAAACGCGCGTAACCCATACAATTTGTCGCTTGGAAGTGGTTTCTGTTGAGATTGTCAACGACTAATCTGCATTCTTCTAGAGCAAGCATACATTAAAATAGTATTTACTTCAATTGTATCATATAACACTTTCCGATTATTTAACTATTGTAATGAACCCTGAAGCTTGTAAGCAGAAATTCGCCTTTAAGGATTTGTACATCTGATCCGAAAAACCTGATTGGTAGCAATTTCTTCCCACATTAAAATATAGCTCATTCCAATGAAATATAAAGTTGGTGAAAGACTAAAGGCATGCGGGACGTATTGTATCTAACCTTCAGAACTGCTGCCAAGTCCGTTAATGTTTTGCAACAAATTTACTGATTATTTTCCTTGTAAGCAACCTTAACTGAACTGCCTTTAAAATGCTAAGTTAAAATTATCACCAAAATTATCATAAAAATTATCATAAAGTTATCACCATATTTGAATCAACAAGAAAAAGAGAGAGAGAGGGAGAGAGAGTGGCTGGGAAAAGAGGGGAAACGAGGGAGAGGGATAGAGAAGAGGAGGAAGAACGATATGTGAAGGGAGAGAAGGGAGGGAAGATTGAATTGATAGCGGAAATGTGCAAATATTGAACAAGATAGATCGAGAAAGGACGAGTAAGAAAGAACGAAATGCAAAGTAAAGAAGATGTCTGGAGGATAATGACGCACATGGCCCACCATTCATTCAAATTGCACTTCGAATCAATCAAGGGTAAATGATTCTGGGCGGGACTTTCCGCGCCAAGTCGTCACGGAGTTTGTTTACATGGCGTCGGTACCTTTGTTGTGTCGCAGATTATGAGGAAAGTGTTTGGCAGAACTGAGGCTAGGAAGTCGTAATAACAATTATTGGATTGTTTCACGAATCCGGCTTAGATTCCAAAAACGGCGAGCCTCTTTCTTCTACTAAGATCCTTTCTTTTCTTTCAATGTTTCTTTAAAAATTAAAATCCCTCTCCTTCTTCAATACTTCTTTCAAACTCTCCTTTGATGTCTTCTCACCTTTTCGTGTTTGTTCCTGCTTTTCTTTCATGGATTCATTCAAAGATTTCTTCATTTGAAATTTAAACGATCTTCTTTCTTTCTTTCTTTCTTTCTTTCTTTCTTTCTTTCTTATTCTATTCATATCTATCTATCTATCTATCTATCTATCTATCTATCTATCTATCTCAGTCTATTTATATCTATCTATCTATCTATCAATCTATCTATCTATCACACTCAGTTCATATCTATCTGTCACAGTCTATTCATATCTAGCTGTCTATCGATCGATCGAGATTGTTTCCATCAATCAATCTATCGATCTTGTTCATATCTATCTATCTATCTATCTATCTATCTATCTATCTATTAAGTCTATTTATATATATCTATCTATCTATCTATCTATCTATCTATCTATCTATCTATCTCACTCAGTTCATATCTATCTGTCACAGTCTATTCATATCTAACTATCTATCTATCGATCGAGATTGTTTCTATCAATCTATCGATCTTGTTCGTATCTATCTATCTATCTATCTATCTATCTATCTATCTATCTCACTCAGTTCATATCTATCTGTCACAGTCTATTCATATCTAGCTATCTCTCGATCGAGATTGTTTCTATCAATCTATCAATCTTGTTCATATCTATCTATCGATCTATCTATCTATCTATCTATCTCAGTCGTTTCATATCTATCTATCTATCTATCTCACTCAGTTCATATCTATCTATCACAGTCTATTCATATCTAGCTATTTATCTATCGATCGAGATTGTTTCTATCTATCTATCTATCTCAGTTAATTCCTATATATATATGTGTGTGTGTGTGTGTGTATGTGTGTGCGTGTGTGTGTGTGTGTATCTACATCGGTTCGTAACTAACTTGCACATTTATACTTCCTTCTAAAACATGTCTTTTTTATTTTTATTTCCTTGCTGCAATTCCAAAATGCCAACAACGACGCCTCGACTAGAAGCGACATGTGTTATCCTCACCTCTAAATTAGCAGACTTCTCTCCACCCTAAACTCAACAATCACTTCTTACGTTTTCATCTTCCTCTTCTTACTTCTTTCATTTCTTCTTCTTCCATTTCTTCTTCTGTTTATTGTTATTCACGAAATGTTTTTCCTGACTTTTTTCGTCTTCTCTTTTTAAGGCTTTGTATTTACTTTTCGCTATCAAATTCTTTATTTCATATCTGTCTGCACTAAACATTCACTCATATCTATTATCATAGCTGCTATTGCATTTTTTGCATTATTATTATTATTATTATTATTATTATCAATGCCTTTTCATGTTCACACCAGATGTTTCGTGGTTATTGCACTAGATCGAGTTGCAACATGTCCCCTCATATTGTGAGTGTTCTTTTCATGAACAGAAATGTACAATGCTTCAACCACCAAAAAATAATGACATAATCAAGATGTTAACATTCCAGACCACTTCAAATAAAAGTTTAGGAAAGAAACTCCGATCAATACTGGGCAAAAAAAAACAACAACTGATAACACGTAATAGACTTAAGAAACCTATTTTCCTGAAAAAATTGTTTAAATAGAAGGATTTCTTAAATTTCCACCGGTGGTTGCTTGGTCAATAACTATACTACACTTTGATCCCAACCCGGTATCTAGGGATGAAAAGAAAATCGTAACTTGAGCAGCACTGGCTGCTCGGTCAGTGGATGCCAATTTTTCTTTATAAGGTAATTGCTACTCTTATTATAATTAGAGATGAGGAGAACTGATACTACACTTTGATCCCAGGCTGATGGCCAAGGACTGAAGAAAATTGTAACTCGAGCAGCACTAGCTGTTAGGTCAATGGATGCCGAATGTTTAATTATAATAAAACGGCTACTATAATCATTATAATTAGAGACGAGGAGAACTGATACTACACTTTGATCCCAGTCTGATGGTTAGGGAGTGAAGAAAAGCTTAACTCCCGTAGCACTGTCTGCTGAAGCAACATATGAAAATGTTTCGGCATAAGTAAAACGGCTAATATTACCATTATTATTACAAATAAGAACATATAATAAAATTTGATCTGAGTCCGATGGTCAATGAGGGAAGAAATCTTTAACCGAGCATCACTGGGTGCTCGGTCAATGAATTCCGAATATTTCCTTATAAGGAAACGAGTTATATTGCATTTACCATTATAGATCAGGAGAACATAAAATACAGTTTGATATAAGCCCGGTTACCAGGGAATTAGGAAAAGCGTAACTCGCGTAGCATTGACTGCTCGCTCAACGAATGCCGAACTTTTACTCAGAAGGAAACTCCTGCTAATATTGCCATTACAATCCCCACATCTCTATCTATAAAATGCATGATATGTGTGTGTGTGTGTGTGTGTGTGTGTGTGTGTGTGTGTAACGAATGTACGGCCGCAATTGCACCAAAATTTACATGGACATGCTCATCGATAGTGGAAATAATCGATTTTTTCATGCTTCTACGGCAGTTTTCGTGTAGTTCGCAGCCATTTTCTACTGGCCAGAGTGAGAGCCTATAGCTGGCTGCCACAAATAGGCAGGAAGATTCTACTGGCCAGCGTGAGAGCCAACAGCTGATTGACACGATTGTTAACTAGCATGCAAAAAAAAAATCGATAGCAGCATTCGTCACAAGTGAGAAAAATTTAAATCTGCATGGCATTTTACTCCAATTGGCTCATTCGCTTGCTTAAACTCAACGTCGATTCTGATTCCGCAGAACTGGGTTGGGTGTGAAAAATATTTGTTGTTAACATTCCTTTCTCATTCGGTTTTTCCAGTTACGAGTCCTTTTTTAAAGCTGATCGTTTTGTGTTCATTTTGTTTAGTTCTTTTTTCGCTTTAATGTTTAGTGTAGAGGTTAAAAAAATTCGCAGTGTGAGATAGACAAGAAGTAAATCATGTAGCAACATCAGCACGGCAAAGGGCACTCCTTTAAAGGCAAGGAAGGGCAAAAATATTTTAAGTCAAGTGATAGCGATTGCTGTATGAGTCGTACGATTTTTGAATCAAGCACGGGCAACGCCGGGCCATGCTGCTAGTTATCTGTTATTGAATGGGATATTTATTGTTGCCTATCTTAATTCGTTGAAACAAAATATGTAATGATGTTGACAGACTTCTGAATTATTATTTTGAGCGACTGATTATGGAGCGATGGTTCGCACTGTTAACTTGCATGATCATAACACCTGCGTAAAGAGTTCGATCTACATTGAACACGCTATTCAAAAATTTGATATTGAACAATACAAATACCTGTACGTTTTACTAGTTGTGACATTCACCCGGTCGGTTGAGCCGACTCCATGAAACTAATCGGCCGCATCCGAACGAAAGCTGACCAAGCGTTGCGGAAGCCGTAATCTTTTTGACGTGGTAAGAGTTTCATTGGGAATTTGAATTCACTAGCCGTCCCCAGCCCCATGTATACACACTTTAGGATAGTGCTATCCAGGTTGAGTTCAGAGTTTCCTTCTCCTAGACTGGTTGCCAGGTCTTGCTATATTACCCATATCTACGTGGGGAGATACATGGATTCATACCTTTCCCAATGTTATAGTGTCAGGAATAATACAAATATTTTTTTCATGTACAAACCACTAAAAGTACTTTGGAAAGCTATGAATGTCTACATCTTGAAAGACATAGGGATTCATAGATTGATTTTTGAATGGCATACCAACTCTTTCATGGAAAAAATAATGCCGAAATGTGATTTTCTTCGAAGCTTTGAAGTAATAAAAATATGATATATGTTATTCTGCTTTCACAACTGAATATATGGTAGATGATACTCAGCTTTTGTGTATATACGTGTTTGCGTGGATATCATTACTAAAGGCGGTGATGTACGCGTTTTATGTTGTTTTTTTTAAAATTATATTTTTTGAATCATACCTTATTTGTAAATCATAATCATGTACACTTTAATCGAATTTAATTTAAATATCTGAGAGAATTTCTCAAAAGATTTGGCGCCTAGGTGAGGGGTAATGGTTAATGAGACTAGTCTGGTGGACTATTACTACTGCATAATGAGTTTGATACTCACTAGGTGCCCTCATACAAAATCCAAAATTAAATAGCACAAAACTGAATAGTGATCTTTCAAAAATGTATTGCCGGTAATATTTTTTTCCTTCGAAAATATATTTCTGGTAATATTTTTTCTCAAAAATGTATTGCTGGAAATAATGTTAATTTTTTACGAAGTATTTCTGGTATTAAAACCTATTTTTACACTTTCATAATGCTTTTACAACAGTTTGTGGGTTAACTATTTGCCCATAGCTGGGACCCTAACAGGTGCTACCGCCCCGGGTCAGAGTGAATTAAGAGTAATTAAGAGGTGGTTCCACGTTCCTCTAAGCCTCCTGATCAGAGGCCTTGCTGTTGGATGTAGTTTACCATTTTAGCCAGGACACGGACGTAGTTTATCGTCTTACACAGGACGCGGATGTAGTTTATCGTCTTACCCAGGACGCGGATGTAGCTTATCGTCATACCCCGAACGGGAAAGAGAAAAAGAAAACTAAATGATAAGAGGCGATGACTTTGTATGAATGAATGGAAATCGAGTAAAGAGTGGAGGAGATTTTGAGAGAAAGAGTATATATGTAAGAGAGACTGATTTCAATACCCGGTTGTGGAGAACTTGGAAAGGGAAATTAACAGGAGATAACTGACAACTGACATCCATTAAACATTGCACGTGGAACTAGAACAGTCTAGCCCAGTGAGCGAAATAAAGGATTCAGTTCGACATCCCAACCACCTGAAGAAGGCCGGAGCGTATAACAGCCGAAACGTTGTAATAAATGTGGCGACAAAGATGAGGAAAATAGTCTGAATAATGTAAATAGTGTACATAATACCTTATCTCAGAAATATAGACAGATACAGAGACTGATTTATTCGTTTTTTTACGGTTTACCAACCTGTAAGTGAGAGCGAAGGAGAGAAGATTAAGCATCAAAATATATGAGTGAGTTATTTTATTTCCATAGAGAATATAGAGAGAGAGCGATGAGAGGGCATAATAAAGGAGGGAGCATATTTTGTACGAGAGAGAGAAAGAGAGAGAGAGAGAGAGAGAGAGAGAGAGAGAGAAAGGAGAATAAACTAATCCAATATGAAAAGAAAGAAAGAAAAGAGTGAAAGATTATTTTAGAAGACAGGAAGGAAAAGGAAATATTTCAGTATATGACGCAAATAAAGAGCAAGAAGGAAAAGGCTTTATTTGCAGTTGGTGGATGGGCGAGAGAATGGGGAGGGAGAAAGAAAAGAGAGAGAGAAAGAGAGAGAGAGAGTGAGAGAAGGAGAGTGTGGGTGTCTGAGATTCCCGTATCTCAATAGTCCATCATCTTCCCGACCCTCCTCAATCCAAAATATTGACGTCTTTGAACTATGAACAATTACCGGGGCCCTTCTCTTCATAATTGACGACAATGACGCAGAGTGAGAAGTGTATTCGGGGCGAGTAAAATAAAATTAGCCTGCTTGACTGACTGAAGGTTAGCGGGGCGCTTGACTGAGGGCAGAACTAAGGGTTGTTTGATTGGCTGATTGGCCGCCGGGGCGGATAGCGATGGTGGATGTAAACGGTGATATGAGACAAAAGGTGAAATAGTGAAAGGTCGTTGGGAGAGTAAGGATGAATCGTTGGGAGAGTAAGGATGAATCGTTGGGAGAGTAAGGATGAATAGTGAGAAAGACAACATTGAAAAGTAGAGATAAAAATGAAAGGAAAATATCAACAGGAAGAAAAGTGGAAAGAAAGAGAGAATGTAGAAGAAAGAGAGAGAGAGAGGGGTAATAAGAAATGAGAAAAAGCGAAATAAAAATGAGAAAGAGAAAGTGAGTGTCGTAATAACAAAGTAGAAAGACAAAAGAGAGGAAGGTAATAAAAAAAGTGAGAGAGGTAAAAAGAAAGAAAAAGATAGAGAAAGAGTTAGGAAGAAAGGAAAAAGAGAGACAGAGACGTCAGAAGAGATGAAAAAGATATAAAACGGGAGAAAGAAAGAGAGGTAGATAAAAAGAAAGTAGAAAGAAAGAGAAAAGTAAGAAAAAGGAGAAAAGATAGAGCGAGATAGGAAGAAAAAGAAAATAGAGACTGTTGAGAAGAAATGAAAAAGAGGGACAGACATGCAAGAAGAAATGGGGAAAAGAAAGATAAAACAGGAGAAAGAAAGAGAGCGAGTAAAGAAGAAAGAGAGAGTGGTAACAAAGGAGAAAGAAAGAGATATGGGTAAGAAGAAATTAGGAAGAAAGAGAAAAGTAAGAAAAAGGAGAAAAGTGAGAGAAGTAAGAAGAAAAAGAGAGGTAGAGACAATTAAGCCGAAAGAAAAAATAGAGACATAAATGCAAGAAGAAAGGAGGAGAAAAGAGATAAGAAAAAGAAAAGAGAGAGAGAGAGAGAGAGAGAGTGGTAACAAAGGAGAAAGAAAGGGAAAGAGGTAAGAAGAAAGAAACGTATAAAGTTGGGTAAGAAAAAGGAAAATGGAGAGACGAGTCAGATAAAATGATAGAGAGAGTAAGGTAAGAAACAAAAGAAAGAGAGAGAGGTGAGAAAAATGGGAACGAGAGATAGAGAAAGAAGTAAGAAGAAAGAAAGGGAGTGAAAGAGGTAAGAAGAAAAGAAAAAATAATGACAAAGTTAAGAAAAGAGAAGGGTAGAGAGAAGTAAAAAGAAAGAAGAAAAGAAAAAGGAAATGAGAGAAAGAAGAGAAGAAAGTGAAAGAAAGAGGAGAATTAAGAAGGAAAAAAGTAAGAAGAAATGAGCGAGAGAGAGAGAGAGAGAGGGAGGAGAATTAAGAAGAAAGGAGAAAGAAAGAGAAGAGTTAAGAAAAAAGGTAAAAAGAAATGAGAGGGAGATAGGAGAATTAAGAAGAAAAAGAGAGAAGTGTTAAGTAACAGGAAAAAGCTAAGAAATGAGAGAGAGAGAGAGAGAGAGAGAGAGAGAGAGAGAGGGGGAGGGAGAATTAAGAAGAAAGGAGAAAGAGAGAGAAGAGTTAAGAAAAGGCAGAAAGAGGAGACTTAAAAGAAAAGAAAGAAGACTTAAAACCCCATCAAAATCCCCAGAAAACAGCTTTGAAGTTCTGATTATAAGTGTGTGTTTTTTTCTTATTAATTCTGTGAATTATTAAAACTGCTCATAATGAGTGAATAATGGTTGGTTTAGTTTGGTTTATTTTAAGGCATAACAATGTCAATGGATTATTTAATACAGACAAAATTTTTATTTACATTATTCAGATATTTGTCCTCATCTTTGTCGCCATATTTATTACAACGTTTCAGCTGTTGTACGCTCCGGCCTTCTTCAGGTGGTTGGACTTAACCCTTTATTTCGCTCACTGGGGTAGACTGTTCTATTTCCGCATGCCATGGACACATGAGATAACTGATAACTGACATCTATTACACAGGGCACGTGGAACTAGAACAGTCTACCGCAGTCTGAATAATGTAAATAATGTAGATAATACCTCATCTCAGAAATATAGACAGATACTGAAAAGCCAAAACGTTGTAATAAATATGGCGACATAGATGAGGACAATAGTCCGAATAATGTAAATAGTGTACATAATACCTCATCTCAGAAATATAGACAGATACTGAAAGGCCAAAACGTTGTAATAAATATGGCGACAAAGATGAGGACAATAGTCCAAATCATGTAAATAGTGTACATAATACCTTATCTCAGAAATATAGACAGATACTGAAGATTTTTATTGGTGGTAAAATTTTTTTCAAAATCTTATTTTTGCACTTTCATAGTGTTTTGATCCCAGTTTGGCGGGTGGGGGGTAACTATTTGCCCATAGCTGAGACCCTCACAGGTGCTACCTTTACAAGAGCCAAATCAGGCCTAAAATAGAGTATTCCTGACATACATGGGCAGGAGACGTCTTCACTTTTCAGTATCCAAAAGCATCGCTGCGTCCTCGTGGCTGACAAATTATTTTCCAACTCCTTTTTCGCAAATGAAACGATACGTGCCTCTATCGCTATTTCCATGGACAATGTTCAGACAAACTACAATCCTTAGTTCCACCAGTTCTAACCTTCATGGCTAAGACCCGCCATCCGACGTACATTGTAACGACTCACCCTCATTCTCTTCGTATTCCCTTGGTGAGAAATTCCACTCGTCCAGTTTCTTCCCGCAAACCGCTGATCTGTGGGACCAACTTCCATGAGGTTGTTTACCCGATCACTGTAATCTTAATCTGTTTATGTCCAGGATTAGCTGTTATTTTCCCCACATATCCGCATAAACTGTGCCTCTTAATATTTAATCCTCTACATCGAGTGGCTCTCGGGCCTTGCACACGGAAAATATCACTATAAAAAAAAATCGGACCTAGTTAAGTTTTGTCTGATCTTTTTCTACAAGATTAGACATATTCCTTATATTATTGTTCTCAGCTGTCTATATTTCTGAGATGAGGTATTGTAATTATTTACAGTATTTACATTGTTTGGACTGTTGTCCTCATCTTTGTTGCTATATTCACGTCGTTTCTGCCGTTGTACGCTCCGCCCTTCTTCAGGATCTGTGTATATTTCTGTGATGAAGGTATTGTAATTATTTATATTATTTACATTGTTCGGACTGTTGTCCTCATTTTTGTTGACATAAGCACGACGTTTCGGACGTTGTACGCTCCGGTCTTCGTCAGGATCTGTCTATATTTCTGAGTTGAGGTACTGTAATTATTTACATTATTTACATTATTTGGACTGTTCCTCGCGTCTTTCCATCTTCAGGTGATTTGAATTTCGAACTGAACCCTTTATTTCGTTCACTGGGGTAGATTGATCTAGTTCCTCGTTCCATGCCTTTTCCGGGTGTCAGTATCAGTTATCTCCCTTCAACTCAGATCTCGAAGTTTTCAAGTTGCATAGGTTCAATTCGAAATTCCAATCACCTGAAGAAAGCCGGAGCATAAAAAGACCGAAACGCCGTGAATATGGCAACAAAGACGGTGACAATAATCCGAACAATGTATATAATGTAAATTGTTTTTCTCATCTTGTATGTTTTAACTATTCACAACATTTCGGCAGTTATGCTCTGCGACCTTCTTCATACGTTTATATCATTCTTTCTCGCATATTCCACCCAAAGACAAATAGGGATATTCCAAAAATAAATAGTAACTGACGTTAAGTTGGTCTAATAACAAAACGAAAGCCTGGAATAATATTTTAAACTATTTTCTTTCAAGAGCTTCGAAAATAAAGTCAACTCTCATAACAGGTTCTTGCCGCTATCGTTCAAACCCTTCTGAAATTCATGGATACTTGCACTTTTAAGCCGTTTGGAATCGGCTTCGAGAAGCTGCTTTTGTACAAGTAGACTCCGCAAAGGCACTCGACAAAGTACGCCACAAGGATCTGCAAGAACTGCTTAATAACTTTGATATTGAATAATGTAAATAGTAAATACCTCATCTCAGAATCATCTTCAAGACCTGGGCGATAGTGGCTCTCCATTACGTCCTGTTCGCCATCCATTCACATAAGGTCAGGCAGGCAGCCAGTTGCAGCCCCATTACTTTTCTATTCGATATGTTGTAAGTGTATCAAATTTTCCAAGTCTTCTTTTCTCACTATGCGTCTAAGAAATTTCATCTCTCTCTCTTTCCCGGTCTGAATATAAGTGTTCTTTTTGGTTGCGTTTTCTCTAAGATTTCCCCTTTTCTTACACACTCCGTCCATGATATTCTCAACATCCTCCTGCATAGCCACATCCCAGTTACATCCAGTCTTCTCTTCATATGTGAGGAAATTGTCCAGTATTCAATGTTATATAATAGGATTGATATTAATGTAATGATAAAGGTACACAGGTTTAAGGAAGCTTTATTCAACTGAGAATACAAGGTTCGCGTATAGTGTCCTTTTATAGTCCCAGTAAACAGAAATAGCTCACTCAAGGAGGAGAGTAACAAAACAAGTGGAGACCACTTTTGATTATTCAAAACAATTACTTAGAAGTTCATCACTCCTTTCTCTGTTTCAATCCACATTTTCCTGTTTCTTATTACATTGTTTAGATTTTGGAAGGCATATTTGCTGTTCAAATTTCTCTTCGGATTGCTGTGTGCATTTGTGTTCGATCTTCCCTGTCATTGTTTTGTTTCTTTAGTTGAAGACAAATAGTCTAGGAAATTATCATTTTTTTCAGGCAGTTACCCCCAGACAATCGAGAGTGCAAGTGGCACGCATGGGGTTACGGAAGGTTGAGAACAATATTAAAGAGACATGTTTGGGGAAAGGATACAGAGAAGGACGAGGAACAAGATCAAGTTATCAGAAGATTGACATTACACTTAAATATTTGAAGATTATAATAATCGGGGAAGCAAGTAAGGGGAAGGGAGTTCCACAGACGGGAAGTGAAAGAGAAGAAGCTGTTTGAGTAGAAGAGACGGATACATTTAATAGTTTCGACAGTTAAACAGTGGAACCACATGCCAGCCGGGTAGCTCACTTCATTTCATGCAGTCTGGGAACAAGAGAAAATAGCATGTCGGAACAGTTGCCGTGAAAATATTTGTAGAAGAGACAGAAGGAAGCCACAGCACGTCTGTGAGAAAGTGACTGTAGACGAGATGCCAGATCAGGACATATCAAATTACATATTTGTCTCTGGATTTTGTCGAGGACCTCGAGACTTAAAGCTGGAGCACCAGACCATATTTGG